TGATCAACAAGTTTCTTTCAAGATCATGCTGCAGAGAAACTGGCTTCAGAGGGGTTACTCCATAAATATTGAATACAGTTTTGGCAGCTGCATTAGAATCACCAGAGGTTTATTTTTCCCTAAACCTTTAATTCTGGGAAATTTCAAATGTACAGAAAAGTACAGGGAATAGTATAACATACCTTCCTTACTCATTGCTCAGTTTCAGTAGTTACTGACATACTTGTTTCTTCTCTATCATTACTCCTTCTCCTCACTGTGATTATTTTAAGGCAAATTCCAGGTATCATGTAACCTGTTAGATAAAGGTTCTTTTCAAAATCATAACCATTACACCATTAAAAATATACCATACAAATAGCTAAAGAAAGAAGTGAAGCAAAAAGCAAGGAAGAAAGGGAAAGGTATAGTCAACTAAACACAGAGTTCCAAAGAACAGCACGGACAGACAAGAAGGCCTTCTTTAATGAAGAGTGTATAAAACTAGAAGAAAAAACAGAAGGGGAAAGACTAGAGATCTCTTTAGGAAAATTGGAGATATCAAGGAATATTTTGCTCAAGATGGGCATAATAAAGAACAGAAACGATAGAGACCTAGTAGACGCTGAAGAGATCAAGAAGAGATGGAAAGAATACACAGAAGAACTGTGCAAAAAAGATCTTAATGAACCGGATTTCTACGATGGTGTGGTCAGTCATCCAGAGCCAGACATTCTGGATAGCAAAGTCAAGTGGGCCTTAGGAAACACTGCTGTTAATAAAGCTAGTGATGCAACAGAATTCCAGGAGAACTATTCAAAAGCCTAAAGGATAAGGTCATCAAGGTGTTACATCCAATATGTCAGCACATCTGGAAGACCCAGCAGTGGCCACAGGACTGGAAAAGGTCAAACCTCACCCCAATTCCCAAGAAGGGTAGTACAAAAGAATGTGCTAGCCATCAGACAATCATACTCATCTCCCATGCTAGCAGTTCAGTTCAGTTCAGTTCAGTTCAGTCGCTCAGTCATGTCCAACTCTTTGCGACCCCATGAATCACAGCATGCCAGGCCTCCCTGTCCATCACAAACTCCTGGAGTTTACTCAAACCCATGCCCATTGAGTCGGTGATGCCATCCAGCCATCTCATCCTCTGTCACCCCCTTCTCCTCCTGCCGCCAATCCCTCCCAGCATCAGGGTCTTTTCCAATGAGTCAACTCTTCGCATGAGGTGGCCAAAGTATTAAAGTCTGCCACTGTTTCCACTGTCTCCCCATCTATTTCCCATGAGGTGATGGGACCAGATGCCATGATCTTAGTTTTCTGAATGTTAAGCTTTAAGCCAGCTTTTTCACTCTCATCTTTCACTTTCATCAAGAGGCTTTTTAGTTCCTCTTCACTTTCTGCCATAAGTAAGGTCACACTTAAAATCTTGCATGCTAGACTTAAGCATTATGTGAACCAACAACTTCCAGATGTCCAAGCTGGCTTTAGAAAAGGAAGAGGAGCCAGAGGTCAAATTGCCAACATTCACTGGATCACAGAGAAAGCTAGGGAATTCCAGGAAAACATCTACCTCTGTTACATCAGTTACGCTAAAGCCTTTGACTGTGCATATCATAATAAACTGTGGAAAGCTGTTCGAGTAATGAAACTACCAGACCATCTCACCTGTTTCTTAAGAAACCTGTATGCGGGCCAAGAAGCAACAGTTAGAATCCTGTATGGAAAAACTGATTGGTTCAAGATTGAGAAAGGGGTATGACAGGGCTGTCTGCTGCCACCCTGTTTGTTTAATCTGCACACTGAGCACATCATGAGAAATGCCAGGATGGATGAGTTACAAGCTGGAGTCAAGATAGGTGAGAGAAACATCAACAACCTCAGATATGTGCACAATACCACTCTAATGGCAGAAAGCGAAGAGGAACTAAAGAGCCTCTTGATGAGGGTGAAGGAGAGTGAAAGAACTGGCTTAAAATTAAATATTAAAAAAAGAAAACTAAGATCATGGTATCTGGCCCCATTACTTCATGGCAAAGAGAAGAGGAAAAGGTGGAAGTAGTGACAAATTTCCTGTTCTTGGTCTCTAAGACCACTGCGGATCGTGACTGTAGCCATGAAATCAGATGACTGCTTGTTGGCAGGAAAGCTATGACAAACTTAGACTGTGCTGAAAAGCAGAGACATTACCCTGCCGACAAAGGTCTGTATAGTCAAGGCTATGGTCTTCCCAGTGGTCACGTATAGTTGTGAGAGCTGGACCGTAAAGAAGGCAGAGTGCCAAAGAATTGATGCCTTTGAACTGTGGTGTTGGAGAAAGTGAAGTCGCTCTGTCGTCTCCGACTCTTTGGGACCCCATGGACTGCAGCCTCCCAGGCTCCTCCGTCCATGGGATTTTCCAGGGAAGAGTACTAGAGTGGGTTGCCATTTCTTTCTCCAGGGGAATCTTCCCGACTCAGGGATTGAACCCGGGTCTCCTGCGTTGCAGGCGGATGCTTTACCCTCTAAGCCACCAGGGAAGCCCCAAGGCTCCTGAAAATCCCCTGGACAGCGAGAAGATCAAATCAGTCAACCTTAAGGGAAATCAACCCTGAATATTCGTTGGAAGAACTGAAGCTGAAGCTCCACTGTTTTGGTCATCTTATGCGAACAGCTGACTCGTTGGAAAAGTCCCTGATGCTGGGAAAAATTGAGGGCTGAAGGAGAAGAGAGCATCAGAGGGTGATAAGGCTGGACGGCATCACTGATGCAATGGACATGAACTTGGGCAAACTTGGGAGATGGTGAGGGACAAGGAGGCCTGGTGTGCTGCAGTCCATGGGGCCACAAAGAATTGGACACGAATGGGTGACTGAACAAGAACATACCATTAAAAAGAACCATAATTTCATGATAGAATTAAACACAAGAGTTTAAAAAATATATAGATTCCCAGACCCCCTTCCCAGACCTACAGAACCAGATTCCTTGTGAAATGTTGATGGGCTTCCCTGGTGGCTTAGATGGTAAAGCATCTGCAGGATGCTTTCCCGAAATGCAGGAAACCCAGGTTCGATCCCTGGGTTGGTAAGATTCCCTGGAGAAGGAAATGGCAACCTGTTCCAGTATGCTTGCCTGGAGAATTCTGAGGACAGAGGAGCTTGGTGGACTACAGTCCATGAGGTTGCAAAGAGTTGGACATGACTAAGTGACTAACACACACACACATAGGTGTTGACAGGAAAAAAATGCATGACAGAAAAGGTGTGAGTTAAGTTTTATTTGGTGACCTTACAAAGGAACAGCTCCAAAGAGGTGAGGGAGGAGCCAGAATATATATGAGCTATTTTTTTTTTTGCTGGAAAAAACAAGACCCAAGAATCTGAGGCCATTAACAAATTTTCATTACATGTGTATTTTAACCACCTGTGTGTGCTAAGTCGCTTCAGTCGTGTTTGGCTCTTTGCAATCCCATGGACTATAGCCCACCAGACTTCTCTCTCCATGAGATTCTCCAGTCAAGAATACTGGAGTAGGTTGCCATGACCCCCTCCAGGGGCTCTTCCCCACCCAGGGATCAAACCTAAATCTCTTCTCTCTCCTTCACTGGCAGGCGGGTGGTTTACCTCTAGCGCCACCTGGGAAGACTTCTTTGTAGGGATATCTACATTTTTAGAATAAAATTGCTGAGGTGTCTGAACTGCTAGGTCATTAGTATAGGACTTTTGGGGATCTCTGAAGGAGACAGGTATAGAATACAAATGGAGCTGCTTTTCAGTATATCACTGTCTTGACTAATTAAACTCTTCCAAATCAATTAAAATGAGTACTAGGAAAGTATTAATTTAAGGGAATTCTGGCATAAAAGCTTTTGTAAAATGAATAAACGTGTCTGGATCCAATATGTTAATCTTCCTGTATTTACCATGTACTTTCCATTTAAGGGAACAAGAGGGACAATAGAAAACACTTTTTTTTTTTTTTAAAAGCATACACATTTTGCCCTCAAGTAAATTATAAGATTAATCTGAGCTGAGCCTGGGGCAGTTTGAAACTTCAACTCCATCGATAAACTGAGACCCGCACAAAACGCACATCCAAACCCACTGGACCCCGGCAGGAAGAGCTAGCTGGCTTCTTTCGGCCGAACACCACGCATGGCTCCTGGGAGCTGCCGCGGGGCAGTGGAGAATAGATGGTGTGCTGGTGGCGGTGTCAGCTCAGTCCAGATGGCGACCGGGCTGAAGCGCGACCCTGCTCCATGTAGCGGTGGAGATACAGCCGGTCACCCCAGATTTTAATCAGAGCCCTAGAAGGGGAGGAACTGGTGCTGCTAGAGCGACGACGATGGGTCGGTCAGGAAGGCTACCGTCCCAGACTGAGTGCAGGCACACCCCGCCCCCGGGAGCCCCCTAGCCTGCGCAGAACTTGGGAGGCCTCGGACGTCTGCAGCTGGAGGGTGAAAACCGATCACGGGTTTCCCGAGGAGGAAGACAACAACCCCAGCCTCAGGAGCCCTTTATTTTGAGTCTAGGAGCCACATTCCTGCTCTTAGGCGACTCAAAGCCGATTTCAAAAGCCGGTGTCCCGAGAACTTCCCGGCAGGAGGCAGCCAGCCCCGCGCGGGGGGCAAGTGGGCGCAGTGGAGGCAGAAACAGCGAGCAGCAGCAGGGCTGGGCGGAGGCGGTTAGGCTTTCCGACGCAGGCCAGGCGGGCTCCTCGGGCTCCCGGGACCCGGTGCTGGGGTCAGCGCCGGGGCCCTTTGCAGCCAGCTACACCCTCCCCCTTCCCTGCGGGCTTTTGCGCACGACGCGCCGCTTCACACGGAGAAGCGGGGACTTGATAAAGCCAGCCGGCGCGGCGCGCAGCTGCCGGCGTCGTGGGTGCAGCAGCGGTAGAGACAGCCGGACGACCCCTCAGCGGCCCCGGCGCGGTCCAGGAGGGAGCTGCGCGCAAGGCTCTGGTGCCAGGTGAGCGCTCGCCGCGGGAAAGACCAGCGCGCAACTCCAGGGAGCACGTAGCAGGGCGCGCGGGGCCGCATGAAAGCGGGCGAGAGGATGCATCTGTTGGACTCCAGGCTTGCAGTCGGGTAAGGAGAACCTGGGGAGGGGAGGGAATTTCAGTGACCTCAGCCACACCTCCCCGTCTGCCATCCTGGCAGTGGTTGGTTTTGGCGACCGCTCGACTTGGGACCCCCGCCCCCCGCCCCGACAGGAGGGGTGGGAGGGAGGTGGAGGAAAGGGGAAATTGAGGCTGAGCACAGGGACCAGTCCTTCCTCGCCGCAGAGCACAGATCCTGACCCCTGCGGGTTCGTGGGAGAGTGCATGCCTGGAGCTCCACCCCGGGGCTTGCTCTTAGCCCAGGGACCGCCCCGCCCTGGTAAGCCCGGTGTCTCCGAGTCCTTGCGAAGGGGCGAGCTGCTGTCTTCCCTGAGCATGAGCTCTGATCCTTATCCGCACTCCACTGGACCGGTCCAGCCCAGCCCCCCCGGCTTGTTCCCAAGGTCTTTACCTCCTCCAAGCCCTGGGAGGGATGAAGGAGGAGAAAACACACGGAGCCAAGACTCCAGAATGGTCATTCTCCAGCACCCTCCTGCAAGGAGGGGCTTCTGGTCACATCTTAGAGTCTGTCGAGCTTGGAGTATGTCCTTAACTCTTTTTCCAAACGGGCACAGGGGAATGCGCAGAGAGGTAAAACTAGAGTCAGCCCTCTTTGCTCCCATCTCATCCCTCACCCTTTCTCTCTGGACAGGACTTACACAACTCTGTGGGAGGATGGGACCAGCGGCATCCCTCCGTCATCTTCACCTGGCCTGGCCTTGCAACCCACTGAGCCAGCTCCGCAGAGCAGCCATTACTGCCATTCCCAGAAGGGTCCTGGCAGTCACTGCGACCCCAAGAAGAGGGCCTGGCGGCAGCTCTGTGTGGCTTCTGCCTTCTGCCTGTTGTTCATGATTGGGGAAGTCATTGGTAAGGAGTCTGGGCTAATTGCATGAAGTTGGCACATGGGTAGTCTGGATGATCCCTAAGGCTTTTCTCCTGAATGTTCCTGTAGCATTAATACCAACAGCCCCGTTTACTGTATGCTTGCCAGGCTAATAGTAGGTCTCCCTTGGTGGCTCAGACAGTAAAGAGGCTGCCTGCAGTGCGGGAGACCAGGGTTCCATCCCTGGGTCGGGAAGATCCCCTGGAGAAGGAAATGGCAACCCACTCCAGTATTCTTGCCTGAGAATCCCATGAACAGAGGAGCCTGGCAGACTACAGTCCATGGGATTGCAAAGAGTCAGACATGACTGAGCAGCTGTCACACACTCACACCATGCTGAACCTCTTACACGCACACTATCTCATGCAATCCTCACAACAGCCTTGTGCTGTCATGGGTCCCGATAGTCTCATTTTTATGATGCAACTGAGGCATCACAAAGTTAAATAACTTGCCTGAGGTTACGTACAACTAGTAGGTCAGGAAAGACCTGAATGCTAAAAGAAAAGAGCATTAATTGAGTGCCTACAATACTTTCCAAGCCCATTTTTTTTTTTTTTTTTGTTTTTGGTTGTGTTGGCCACCCTGCACGGTTTGTGGAATCTTAGATTTCTGACCAGGGATTGAACCCGAGCCAAGGGTGCAATGAAAGTGGGGAGTTCGAACCACTGGACCGCGGCGGTATTCCCCTCCAGGCCCAATTTGAACTCAATTTTCACGTTCATCCTCTAAGTAGATTTTGCTAATCCCATTTCACAGATGCTGGTTGAGGCTCGGAGAAAGGAAGTCACTTGTTCATGGTTACATAGCTAATGGTGGAGAGATCTGGAATCCTTTGTCTTTCTCTAGAGCTCATGGTTTCCCTGCTGCGCACACACTCTGGGAAACTGGCTCCTTGGGGAGCCGATAAGGACCCTCCCTCCTCTTGGCTCTGCAGGTGGGTACCTGGCACATAGCTTGGCGATCATGACAGATGCAGCCCATATGTTCACTGACTTTGCCAGCTTGCTTATCAGCCTCTTCTCCCTGTGGATGTCTTCCCGGCCAGCCACCAAGACCATGAACTTTGGTTGGCATCGAGCTGGTGAGGGCCCTGATTGGGATGGGGGGTGGAGTTGGGGGAGGAGGGGGTGGGTTAAGATGAAAGTTCTTAGGTGAGTGCATTGGGTCCCTGAGTAAAACCAGGAGGGTGACTTGGGTGGGGGAAGAGGATGTCAACCATGACTTTTGTCCTTTGAGAGCTTCCAGTCTGATGGGGGAACCCTGGTCCCCTGTCCTCTGGGAGTTCCCACCCTGCAGGGAAGGAAAGTCCACCTTCCTAAGAGGATAAATTTTATTTATTTAAGAATAAATGATGGTGGTGTTCACTTTGCACATAACGCCATGGATCGGCTTTAGCGGGGAGGGACAGGTCAGGAAAGCTTTCTGAAGTTCATCTCTGGGCTGCGTTCTCATTCTCTTCTTGGTGGGAGATGGCCCAGCCTCTGTTCTTCAGAGCCTCAGTTTGCCAGATGAGCAATGAGTCAGCTTCAACAGAAAAAATTGCCCCAGATGATGTCTTGGGTTTCTTCTAGCTCTAACCTTTTCAGATGTATGAGTGGTGGGGTGAGGTGCCAGCCATGGTACCTCCAGCAGAGTCATACCTACAATCAGACCCAGGCTCAGATTTTGTGGGAAGGGAGAGGAGGGGCTCCTTAGCCTCAGGGCCCCATGCTAAGATTGGTATTGGGGGCCGGGTTCTTCCTCAGAGATCCTGGGTGCCCTGCTCTCTATGCTGTCCATCTGGGTCATGACGGGGGTGTTGCTGTACTTGGCGGTGGAACGGCTGATCTCTGGACACTATGAGATTGAGAAGGAGACTATGCTGATCACGTCGGGCTGTGCTGTGGTCATGAACATCATGTGAGTGTGGCCTGGGGTCCCTGTGAACCCTCCCCCTCCTCACAGGCATACCTACAGGCCTGCTCTTGTTAGGAGGGGGCCATGCCTCACACCAGGATGGCTGCAGGATCAGAATCTCCCTCGTGGTCTGAGCTCTGGCACCTGGAACACCTAGGTCCTGCCTGAGGCCTAGGGCCAGGCCATCAGAAACTGTAAACCTGGGGCGACATCAAGTCCCCACCCTAGATGTGTAGTGAATAACCAGAGACAGGCTTCCTACCTGTTGTGGGGAGGGGTGAGTCTAGTGCTTACAGGAGCAGGGGTCCCTAGGGACAGAATCTCAAAGCCCGTTTCAATCTGATGTGCCTGAAGTTGGTCTCATCGAGACGTAAGTTGTGTAGAGCAGGGGTGTCTATTCTGGGTTCTCTCCCCCTTGCCCAGTGGCCTTGGGCAAGCCACTTCCCTCTCTGGGCCTCAGCTTCACCCTCTGTGACATGCTGGAGGGAACTTGATCTCCTCTGTAGCGCCCTTCTGCTCTGAGGTTTGACACTGGGGCAGCTTTGTGCCCAGGTTCAGCCTGGCATTGGATGGAGCTGAGCCCTCCTCCCGTTGGCAAAACTCTGAACCAAGGCCACATTCGTTGGGCTCCTTCTGTGGCCAAAGGGAGCATGCAGTCTTGGGTGGGGGCTGGGATTTTGACCCCCACAGGGAGGTTAGTTCTGATGGGGGCCTCTGCCTAGCCAAATTTGAAGCTTCCATCTGCTCCCTCAGCAAGCCCCTGGGCCTTGTCTCCACTCCCATAGAATGGGGTTGATTCTTCACCAGTCTGGCCATGGACACAGCCACAACCCCGAGCACGGCCACAACGCCAGCCAGGAGCAGGGAAGCCCCAGTGTCCGAGCTGCCTTTATCCACGTCATTGGAGACTTTCTGCAGAGCTTGGGTGTTTTGGTGGCAGCCTTTATTTTATACTTCAAGGTTAGAGCTGGGGACAGGGGGAAGTAGGGGAGGGAGTGTAGGTCACCTGGGAGCTTCTCTCTGCGCAGGACCCTTTCCAGTTCTAGCTCCCTCCCAGCTCCAGGCAGAGGGTGGGAGAGGGAAGAAACATTTACCCAATACCCACGAAGCATTAGCGCTTCTGATCTTGATGAGAACCCTGAAGGGAGGTGGTGGTGTTTTCTGCTGCCCAGAAAGGCTCAATGACTTGCACAGCATCACTTAGCTGGTAAGTTGTAGAGTCAGATTCAAATCCTGGACTGTAGGTTGCTGAAGCCTGGGCATTGCCCATTACATAGAGGCAGTGGGGTGTAATGGAAAGAGCCCAGCATTGGGTTTGAAACTTAGATCATCCCTTGCTAGCTGCATGATGTAGAGGAGTCCCTTGCTCTAATTGAGCCTCTGTTACCCCACCTATAAAGCTGGGATGTTGGGCCAGATGGTGCCTAAGATTCCACTTAGCTCTGTCTGTGGCTTAGCCCCTTGGGCAGGGAGGGGTGGGGAGGCATGGTGTCTTATCCTGAACTGTGGTACGTCCTGCCTGTCCTTCTGGACACAGAATAAAAGGCAGAGAACTGGACGGCAGGGTCGGGGTGAAGCTCGTGCCCACCCTGCAGAAAAAGCCCTTCTCCCTGACTCACTACTGGGTGGGAGGGGAGAAGGAAGGCTGAAGTGTTGGCTGGTGACCCTCAGCTCTGCCTCTCTTTCCTTGTAGCCAGAGTACAAGTTTATAGACCCCATCTGCACCTTCCTCTTCTCCATCCTCGTCGTGGGGACAACCTTGACCATCCTGAGAGATGTGATCCTGGTGCTGATGGAAGGTAACCTGAGCTTGGGGCTCCCTTTTTGCTCTTTATTTTCCAGTGCTAAGATAAGCTCGAGTCTGTGTATATGTGGGCTTCCCAGGTGACTCAGGGGCAAAGAATCTGCCTGCCAATCGAGCAGACACCAGTTTGATCCCTGGGTTGGGAAGGTTCCCCTGGAGGAGGAGCTGGCAACCCACTCCAGTATTCTTGCCTGGGAAATCCCACGGATAGAGGAGGCTGGCGGGCTACAGTCAATGGGGTCACAAAGAGTCGGACACGACTGAGAGACTGAATTGAACTGAACACATATATGTGAAATCTGAAAAAACTGGTATAACCCCACCCCCTTCCCTAGGAATTTACTGTTAGTACATTGTGTGTGTGTGGGGGGGGGGGGGCATCACAGCACATGGGGGGGGGCAAGGTCTGGAGAACCTCCTGGGGCCCAGACTAATCTTGACATTGAGCAGGGTCCTCTGGTGTGGTTGTTCCGGAAATGTCCCCTGGATCGTCCTTTCCATCCCCCTACCCCAAGGGTGCCTCCTCCCTGCTGGGATGTGTCCTCACTGCCAAGTCTGGGGGCTTCCAAGTATGTCTTTAGCACCTGGCCCTCCTGCCCTTCCTCATATGCTTCCTGAGTCTCCACTTGCCTTCCCTTTTGGGGTGAGGATTATGCTTCTCATTGCACAGTGCTGCGGGGCCAGACTGAGGATGAGAAAAAGATAGTCGGAGCTGGACAAGAAAGACTACTGAATCCACTCCAGCTCAGGCCTTCTTTCCTGAGGTGCTCCCGCCTCGGGAAGACGTGGCAGGGCTTTGAGGGGTGCTTAGTGGTAGTGAATGGTCTACCCCAAGTTACAACACCTACTTACCTGGCTTTCTGGTGCTCCGGGTCTGGGGCCATACGTCTCTGTTGTTGGAATCAGTCTGGGTCCTGGTTTGGGGTCAGCCTGAGTGTTCAGCTGCAGGTCAGAGCATTTTCTCCAAGTGATGGACCCAGATAAAAGTGATGACAAGGATGCCCCATGGGGCTGCAGGGAGCCCTGGGTTGCCTTCTTTATCTTAAAACAATTTTTATATCAAGCATATACTAGGGGAAGAGACACTGAGAATAGGGTGATAAACCAAACAGTTGTCCTGCTCGCATATAGAGTTTCCATCTGAGACAGGGAGATAGCAAGAAACTAACAAATAAGATCATTTCTGACAGTGTCAAGTGTGAGGAGGAAAATACAACAGGGTGACACGATGGGGCTCGTTTCGGGGGGCAGGGGCAACCTCAGCTCTGCTGGCCAAGGAGGTCTGAATGAGGCGCCGTGCGAGGAGCAGGAAGCAGCGTGGGTAGGAGGGAGCCCTGTCCTTCAGCCCCTGTCCCTGTCGTCCTCAGGGACCCCCAAGGGCGTGGACTTCACAGCCGTGCGGAATCTGCTGCTGTCCATGGAGGGCGTGGAAGCCTTGCACAGCCTGCACATCTGGGCGCTGACCATGGCCCAGCCTATCCTGTCTGTCCACATCGCCATCGGTGAGTGGCGGAGGCACTCAGGGTGGGTGCGGGAGAGGCAGCCGGGGACCCGGGCCATCCCCGCCCGATGGGTCCAGATGATGCCTGGTGCCCACAGTGCCAGTGCTTTGGAGCTGACCCCATGCTGAGTACTGGGCACCTTTTATTTATTTGATCATCAATGTCCCATTTATAGATGAAGAAACTGAGGCGGGGTGGGAGGTGCTAAAGGCACTGGCCCTGGCTTTTACAGCTAGTAAGTGACAGAGGAAAGACTCCGAGCCTTAAAGCCAGAGCTTTTCCGGCTCTTTCAGGGTTGTATGTGCCAGGTGGGGGAACCAGAGGGTTGCCTGGTACAGGAGTGAGTCTGGGGGTTTCTTGATGTTCACAGCCCCCTATCTTGTTCTGCTGGGGATAGGATTTGAGACTTGCCTTCTACTCACTCCTAAGGGCCCAAGAGTGAGTAATTGGTTCTCTGGTGCCTCCCCTCTCCCCCGCCACGTGTCTTTTCGGCCCCCAGCTGAGAACGCAGATGCCCAGGCTGTGCTGAAGGCAGCCAGCAACCGCCTGCAGGAGACGTTCCACTTCCACACCATGACCATCCAGATCGAGAACTACTCTGAAGACATGAAGGACTGTCAGTCCTGCCGGGGCCCCTCAGACTGACCACCTGGCCAGGCACCAACGGGGCGGGGATAGGCCTGCCGATGGCTGGCCCCCCTCACCACCCCACCCCCCCCCGCCCCTGCCAGGCTCAGCCAGGTCTCTGCCTGCCCTGGAGAACCAGGTCCTTCTCCTAATCGCTGCTCCATGTTCAGTGTCAAGGGGCATTGTCCATCTCTGGGAACGGGTTCTTCCCTCGCCTCCCTCATCTGACTACCCCCAGCCCCAGGAGGGGAACCTGGCAGGTATGGAGCTGGTGTGACCACGTTCCTCCGGCTCCTGGCGGGGCAGAGTTTAGGCCTAGTCCTCAGCTAATGCCACCCCACCACCAGCCTCTGGAAAGGCAGTGAGGCACAGAGACGGGTGGCAGAGGGGAGGCCGGCCTCGCTGTCTCCTCACCTGCCTGCTTCATTCCCCATCTTCGGTCTGTCTGGCCTCTGCCTCATGCATCTGTGAAGCAGCTCTGCAAACCCAGTCCCCTTCCTCTGCCTCTGACAATACGCTTTAAGGAGGCCACGGGCCCCAGAAGGCACCTGAGGCTGATCTGTGCCTGAATCATCTCACTATGATTTCATTTCACATTTCCTTTTCCTGGAGGGAGGGGGCTTCTGACTAGGTAAGGACCTGCTGAATTCTTCTTTCCTTATCCCTCCCTCCCCCAGGAAGCTGTGCCAATGCAAAGGTGCCCTGGCAGGAGAGGTGGAGATGGGCTGAGATTTCAGCTTGGGTTCTGCCCCCAGCAGCCCCAGAGCTCGTTGGCCACTCCTCTTGCTCTGACTGTGTCCTGGGGTCAAGGAGCCTGATGTCAGATATGGTTGGGCCAGCTCCATTGTCTGTGTGTTCTGGCCTGCGTGTCGTCCTGGACGACAAAGTGTGTACAACCTAAATAGGAGCCCCTGGCTTCCTGAATTAGGAGGTGGCTTGCACCCCGCGATGAAGTGAAGGGACCTGTCCCCAGTCTGTGTCGCAGAGGAGGCAGCGCGCACAGTCGGCAGGTGGCCCTGATCTAATGGTCTGTCTCTGACCTCAGGAGGGTCAGGGCCTGTCTCATCTGCGGACTGAGAATGTGGACACCCACCTCACAGGGTTGTTGTGAGGCTTGGAGCCAAAGTGGGCTGAGCACATGGTGGTTATGGAAGAGTGGTTCCTTTTCTCATCATTCTGGAAGGATGGCCGGAGAAATCAGCTGGGTTTCCAGCCTCCTGGGGCAGCACTGGGTTTGTCCTGACCCTGTCGTGACCTACGGTGGGAGCAGGAGGGGCTGGTCACTTTCGCCTTCCCCTCTGAGCCTCTCTCTTCCCATCTGTGAAATGACCTCTTTGTGCCTTTTCGGCACTCCCATCTGGGGTTGCCTGTGATCTCAGTCTATCTGCAGGTTCTTCAGCCCCTTAAAATCAGTGGGAAGTTGTGTTGGCTTGGATGCGTGTGTGTGAGAGAGACTTCTGATTGACGGAGCTCCATTCCACCCCAGTCTTCCTCCTCCCAGCCATCACAGGCCACAAGAACCCAGATCCTAGGCTGTGCTGTATGCCAAGTCTGTACACCCATCTCAAGAGACAGCCATTGCTGTCCTCCTTTTTTATAGATGAGAAAACCGAGGCTCAGAGAGGTTGAGTCACATGCCCAAAGTCACACAGCTGGTGTGAGGCAGGTCTGGGATTTCTGCTTTGTTCCCCTAGGCCTCCCCCTACAGCAGGGGCTGGGGACCTGCTCTGGGCTGCGTGTTGGTACAGTATGAGCCTTTTGGCTTGGCAGCCCACAGGCGAGGCCTGGCCAAGGCAGTTCAGTGTTCTGGGTGCAGCAGCTAGGAGTTGGGAGGGAAAAGGTGCCTCTTTCCCCATCTGGGCCTGGCACTTGGAGTCCTCCCCACCCTGGGAAGGCTGCCTGGACTGCAGCTGTGTGCTTCCTCACCCACTGTCCTTGACTCAGGGCCAGACTGTCCCCCCTCCACCTCAACAATCTAGCAGCCCCATGCCTCCCCAGAGAGAGAGAGCCTTCTCGGCACCCCACGCTGTAAGCGGCTCCAGGGATGACTCGAGTCATCCAGGGGCCAGAGGTCAAACTGGAGGATGGAGGTGGGAGGCCTTGGAGTGGCCTTGGGGACAGCATGTTCTGGCCAGCGAGCTAGTCACTAGTCACGGGAGTTTCCAGAGCTGCGAGGCCATCAAAGCAGAAAAACACCTGATACCCTGGACCTGGTTTGGACCCACCATCCCCGTCCCTCTCTGTCGGAGTGGCCCCAGATCCCAGGCGAGACCTGAGTCCCCCTCCCCCGCGCAGCTGCTGTGATGGTATTTATAGCCTGAGCGTGAGGCGGCAAGGACACGCGCTTTTATTTCGGAAGTGATAATTCCAGTTCCAGGTGGGTGAGCCCAGGAGGACCCAGCGCCCCCTCCCCCGCTCTACTCTTACTACCAGGGCCCTAGGGACCGCCCCTGCTACCCCTCAGCCCACCTAAAAACGGCCCCCTTCTTAGTGCCAAGTGTGTGGGCCAAACCGGTTTCAGACGTCAAACTGGGCACCACCAACCCCCAAGACCCCGCGCCCGCTAATCCCACCCGGTGGGCGTTTAGAACTCCCTCCTCGGTCCTGGATCCGCCTGCAATGCGGGAGACCTGGGTTCGATCCCTGGGTTGGGAAGATTCCCCTGAAGAAGGGAAAGGCTACCCACTCCAGTATTTTGGCCTGGAGAATTCCACGGACTATAGTCCATGCGGTCGCAGAGAGTCGGACACGACTAAGAGACTTTCATTCTCGGTCCCAGAGGAGGGAGCGCGGCTCGGTGCTGACCTCTAATGGACGAGGCTGGTAGTGCGGGACGACAGCAGTGCCTGAGCTGACGGGCCAGCGGCGTTCCCATCCCCTCCCCTCCCAATTTTGCTCAGCCCGGTCGAGAAGGAAGCCCTGAAATTGGCTCCTTTGCTTCATCCCTGGGGCTCGAGGATTGCGCCCGGCAAGCCAGGAACCTGCGGCAAAGATGCCTTCCAGGCTGTAGGCGTGGAGTTTACTCCACACACCTCGTCCACGCCCCGGCCCACTGGGCCCAGGGCCCAGGCACGTAGCTGATGTCTATCTGATGGTCAAATATTTGTGGCGTACCTGCCAGGCCAGAGAGAAGAGGCCATGGTCTGCCCTCCCGGGGCTCCCGGGTCAGGCCTGGGGGCCCGACTGTACCTTTTCAAGGCAGCACGAATAAGGGCACTAGGGACACACCAGCTGCGAAAGCGCTGAGGATCGGGGCGGGGGTGGGGGTCGGGCAGGTTCGTGGAGGAGGCGAGGACCCGAAAGAGAAGCAGCTGTTAGTTCGGCAGAAACGCCGAGAAAGGCATTGCAGGTAAACGGTCTGCGAAGGCAGAGGCCAAGCACATGGGAACTGCCCCGGGCGGGAGGGTGGGGCGAGGCTGTCGCTGGCCAATAGGGATCGGCCGTGTTAGGCTCACTGGCAGCCCGGATTGGGTCTCCAGATATCCCAGGGGTGGGGGCTGCGGCTCCATGCCTGTCCCCAACCCCGGGCAGGTTGCAGCTCCCCCTGGGAGCGGGGCCCCCGTCTCAGCTGGTTGGTTCCTTCTAGGGCTTCTCCAGGCTGCGATACTTCTTACGCAGCACGGACACCGGGTCCTTGAAGAGCACTGGGTCTAGACGGAGGCGGGAGGACACCAGGGACATGTGGCCGAACCCTGCCGCCATCCGGTTGATGCAGTTCTGGGCGGCCGGCTGAGGCTCCGCTCTGAGCCGCGGACTCCCAGGCGCCTAAGAGCGGGGCGGAGGAATGTGTTGGGGGGGGGGGGGGTTCTCTTACTTGGAACCCCGCCCTGCCGTCCCACCCCACCGGTCCCCGGCAGCACAAAGGATTTGGGTTAGAGAGAGCAGAGCTTCCCTAGCCAGGGCTCCCAGTGCCACCCCTGGGTCCTCACCAGTGGAGGAGGCCTGGCCTCCTGATGCCACGGCCCATAGGGCACCTTGATAGGCGGCAACTTGGTGACGGCTGCTACTAGAAAGTTCATCAGGACATCCACGCAGCGGGGTGACTCATCTGCCAGGGTCCTCAGAGCCTTGGGCAGGGAGTGGGTGAAGAGGGTGTGGTAATACCTGGGGGAGAGGAGAGGAGCAGAAGAGTCTGCAGCCCGATTCTCCCCCAAGGCCCCATTCTTCTCCCTCCTGGCCTCACTCTCCCATTGACCTCAATTCCTAAGCTTCTTGTGAAAGCCCTGCACCCTTTGCTGAGCCCTGGCCACCTCGGAGAGCTCCCATCCCAAGAATGCTCTGCTCTCTACTACTCTGCACCCTGTGGCTTCTCTGCAGCCAACAGAGAAATGAAATGCAAAAGAAAAAGAAATGCAAAAAGGCAAAATGGTTGTCTGAGGCGGCCTTCCAAATAACTGAGAAAAGAAGAGAAGCTAAAGGCAAAGGAGCAAAGGGAAGATATACCCATCTAAATGCAGGGTGCCAAAGAATGGCAAGGAGAGATAAGAAAGCCTTCCTTAGGGATCAGTGCAAAGAAATAGAGGAAAACAATAGAATGGGAAAGGGTAGAGATCTCTTCCGGAAAATTAGAGATAGCAAGGGAACATTTCATGCAAAGATGGGCAGAATAAAGGACAGAAATGGTATGGACCTAACAGAAATAGAAGGTATTAAGAAAAGGTGGCAAGAATACACAGCAGAACCATACAAAAAAGATTTTAACGACCCAGATAACCATGATGGTGTGATCACTCACCTAGAGCCAGACATCCTGGGGTCCAAAGTGAAGCCGGCCTTAGGAAGCATCACTATGAACAAAGCTAGTGGAGGTGATGGAATTCCAGTTGAGCGATTTCAAATCCTAAAAGATGATGCTGTGAAAGTGCTGCACTCAGTATGTCAGCAAATTTGGAAAACTCAGCAGTGGCCACAGGACTGGAAAAGGTCAGTTTTTATTCCAATCCCAAAGAAAAGCAATGCCAAAGAATGTTCAAACTACCACACAATTGCACTCATCTCATACACTAGCAAAGTAATGCTCAAAATTCTCCAAGCCAGTCTTCCAACAGTACATGAACCAAGAATTGCCAGATGTTCAAGCTGGATTTAGAAAAGGCAGAGGAACTAGAGATCAAATTGCCAACATCCACTGGATCATAGAAAAAGCAAGAGAGTTCCAGAAAAATATCTACTTCTGCTTTATTGACTATGCCAAAGCCTTTGACTGTGTGGATTACCACAAACTGTGGAAAATTCTTAAAGAGACCACCTTACCTGTCTCCTGAGAAACCTCAGGAGGTTTCCAGGTCAAGAAGCAACAGTTAGAACCAGACATGGAACAATGGATTGGTTCCAAATTGGGAAAGGAGTATGTCAAGGCTGTATATTGTTACCCTGCTTATTTAACTTATATGCAGAGTACTTCATGCAAAATGCTGGGCTGGATGAAGCACAAGCTGGAATCAAGATTGCTTGGAGAAATATCAATAACCTCAGATATGCAGATGACACCACCCTTATGACAGAAAGCAAAGAAGAACTAAAGAGCCTCTTGATGAAAGTGAAAGAGGAGAGTGAAAAAGCTGGCTTAAAACTCAGCACTCAGAACACTAAGATCATGGCATCCAGTCCCATCACTTCATGGCAAATAGATGGGGAAACAGTGGAAAGAGTGGCTGACTTTATTTTTCTGGGCTCCAAAATCACTGCAGATGGTGATTGCAGCCATGAAATTAAAAGACGTGTATTCCTTCAAAGGAAAGTTATGACCAACCTAGACAGCATATTAAAAAGCAGAGACAAAACACACACACACACACGCACAAATAAATAAAAAGCAGAGACATTACTTTGTCAACGAAGGTCCATCTAGTCAAGGCTATGGTTTTTCCAGTGGTCATGTATGGATGTGAGAG